AGTAAATTTTGTATGAATAATTAGTTGTATTTGTATCTTAAGTATTTACTTTATCTATTTAATGAAAGTAGACAACTCATGACATTTATATATATAGTTAAAAAATAAATATATTTAGAAAAAAAAATCAAATGATTATGTAATATGCGGTGTATCAACATGTGTTTGGTAGATGAAAAGAAAACTATATTGTACTATTTAAAAAAAAAAAAAGAAAGAAGAAAGGAAGAAGTTTAGTAGTAAATCAGTTAATAACTTAAATAATTCAGTAATAATTTATTTCTACTGAAAGTAAGAAATTTTGAATTCGAGTTAAATGGCATGGGGGTGAGGTGTGATGAGTGATGTGAGATAGTTGTCTCCCATTGTGCAACTAAGATAAAAAAAAAAAAAAATTTAGTAGCAAACTTTCTAGTTGATTTAACCATTACCAGCTCCTTGATAGGTCACGTATTTGGAGACTCATAAAGGACTTGTAACGTAGTATTTCCTTTGCTTTGATTTAATTGTCTTACTATAATTTTTATATAAATTTTAATGATTAAATCTTTATTTTATTTTAAATATTATTCTTTTTTTTTTTGTTAACACTCTTTAAATTTTAAAATCTATAAAAAAAACTCAAATGTTGATTACTAAATTTTTTATTTACACTCTAACAAACACATGACCTAATTGTTAATTTTGAGTGTTTTTCAAGTTTCAAATTATAGAAATTATTGATTGAAAGTTTAAATTTTCTAAGGTGTTAAGTGTAAAAAATAACAACATTTAGGTATAAATAGAGAGTTTGGCTTATTTAAATTAGATAATTTTATATGATAAATATGTGACAATTATTTTTTTTTTTTGAACAATTGGTCATGGGGCAGGCCAAACCCGTCCAAGGAGAGGGGGATGCACCTTTCATTGTGGCAGTTGCTACTAAACCTGAAGGCCAAGTGCGATAATTAAATTTTTTTATAGGTAATTCTTATTATATATCTTCACTTATGTGAAAATAATTTTTCAATCGTTATTTATTTGCTACTCTTTCCATTTATTTTTAATAGTTTTAATTTGATTTTTTTTTATTTTTTAGATAAAAATTTAATAATATATATGAATAATAATTAAAAAATTGTCTTCTCTTATATATAATT